TGGACTCAATGATCTCAGAGGTCCCTTCCAACCATGGTGATTCTGTGCTGGCTGGTGTGTAGCTGGATGCGAAAAGTGAGAGAAAACATTAAAGACATTACCAATCCGATGTCAGTATGACATCTCAAAAGTGAAGACTAACCTAATATTTATTTATTTATGTATTTATTTATTTATGTTGCGAATGAGCAATGAAGAATTTTGGCTGTGTATATCACACTTTTGCTAGCAAACCCCTCATCCCTGCTGCTTGCAGTAGGTCGCACTGTAGGGGATGAGTAAATACTGAGTTATGTGGCGATATTTTAATGATGTTAACATTTTCAGTGTAAGTTACACACTCAGAACAGAAGTGATATGACTGTAATACTTGGAAATTGTTATGTTATTAGCATTTTGTGCACTTCAAATATATCTTCCTTTTAAAAATTATTGATATAATTTTAAATTCGTACAATTGTTTATGTATTTTCATTCCTGAACATAATTTACAGAATTTGGCCAACATCTTCAGAATATTTCTTGGTAGAATGTATTTCCCAAATCCAGGGAAAAACGGCATTGAGATATTAATTTATATAGTTACTGGTGTCCAAAAAAAGTATAAGCCTTTTCTATGATTATCAATGTGAATTCCACTTTCATCCCAACTGTGATTTTAAACAAATTAAAGTGAAAGAAGAGTCACTCAAGTACATATAACATGAGCTGGCAAAACTAGCTTTAATTTAATTATATTCCATTATTAACTGAATAGAATGAACTAAAACTGTTTCTAGAGTAACTGGAAGGTTTCTCTCTAGTGGGCCTGCCAGCCTGGTGCCTGACATTACCATTTGGCTCCACAAAGTCTGCTTTGTTCTTTATACTAGAAGATCTGTGCCTAGATATGTTTCCTGAGGCAGTTATGAACAACCTTCTTAAAAATCAGGGAAATAAATAAATAAATAAAAGTAAAATAAAAGTAAAATATAATTATTGAAAAGTATAATTATTAAAATTAAAATATAAAATAAAGTAAAAATAAAGGAAGCTTAAAGGAATTACACAAAATCTTGTAGTGTGTCAAAAGTCATAATTTCTTCATAACTCTTCCTAAGTGCAGAGTGAGCATCCTAGTATAATTTTTCCCTCTAGCTGTAAAACGACTGGAAGACTTGGAAAACAATCTTCCAATGTGTCCTGGCTTAATTGGGTGATGCAAAGGCTGAGACCAATAATTTACAGATTAATTAACAGCAAACACCTTTCCCCAAAGTGGAGAGCACCTTTGATATAATTTAATATCATGCTGTCTAGAAGGTGGCCTTGCCTGAAAGGTGCTACCTACCAGTGGCCATAGATGTATTCCCAAGTGGTTTTGTTAGCGACATAGTCATCTCTCTTATGGAGGAAAGGCTGATCTTAGACAAACATTAGTAAAGTGAAAGAAAATTTTCCTGCTGAGTATAATGCCTAATGCCTTCTTTTCACTGTGGATTGGAGCCAATAATTATTATTCAGATCAAAGTTTAGGGTTCAGTCCCCAAATTATAGGAACTACGTTTTACTCATGAGTTTGGACTCATAGTACAGGGAGCTAAATGAGAAAGGAAGGCTTTGCAAAACTCTGCTTAGTTAAAAAAAAAAAAAAACAATTTTCTTTGGGAACCCCCCCCCCCCCCCCCCCTTGTTTCCTCATTAAACTATAATGAGGAAATTGCATTTGCTGCAGTAAGGCAACATCTCACAAGAAACTACATACTTGGTAAAAAAATCATCACATCCAACTGCAAAGTTGCTCTTAATTTTCTTGAGAGGTTAAATGGCAATTTAAACCCGTATCTGTATCTGCTGGAAGTGTAATAGTAATAATAATAATCATAATCATCATCATACCAAAGTCACGTAAGATTTTTGAATAGAGTACATTATTCCTGACATTGCAAACAGAGTAAAGGTGAAAGGGCTAGAAAAGCCTGTCATCTCACTTTTCAACTATGCAGCTGTAAGTTTTTTGATATATAGACTGACATTATTGAGCTATCCCTGAACATAATGGTGATCTATAGAATTTGAGGGAGCTGGATTGGAGGTTTTTTTTTTTGCATCACAAGTTCTTTGGACCATGTATTGGAACCAAGCTAAGACACCTTATGGTATGGATTTCCTCTTTACTACTCTTTCTTGTATATGCAAATGAGAGAAAACTCATTTATTTAAACTTGCTTTGCTAAACTCCTTCATTTGGTGGGATTTGCCTGAAAGCCATGAGTCTTTAATGCCAGTAGATTTTCTAGTACTTGTATTTTATAATCCATCTGATTTATAGGATGTACACATTGGAGGCCTTGTCAGTGTGGTGGCAGCACAGGCTTCACAGCTGGTACCACCAGTGGTGACTGAGAACACAAATAGGAAATGCTAGGAAGTGGACCTCAGTACCACAGAAGGTGAAACTCAAGTTGCTGAGGTGAGCAGAGTAGTGAGTGAAAGCAGAGGTGGTTGGAATGAGATTCCGAAGAAAATAATGAATTTCTGGTCAGATAACAAGAAAATTTTTGAGAGATGTTCTGAATTTGCTTCCACACACAGAGAAGGACAGGGCCTTCTCCTGTGGAACTGACTTTGATTTCCACTTATAGGAATTTGTTCATGGAGAAATTCCAGTCCTACAGATATCTCACACCCCCATGGCCTTTCTCTGGAACGCCAGCGCTTTGGTGCATGCTTCTAGCCCAGAAAGTCCATCATATCCTGGGCTGCAGGGTCAGCAGGGCCAGCAGGTCAAGACAGAGGTGGTTGTCCCCTTCTACTCTGCTCTCATGAGACCCCACCTGGAGCACTGTATCCAGCTCTGGGGCCCCAGCCCAAGGAAGCCATAGAGCTGTTAGAGCAGGTCCAGAGGAGGGCCTCCAAAATTATCAGAGGGCTGGAGCACATCTGTGACAAAAGTTTGGGAGCGCTGGGTTTTTTCAGCCTTGCAAAAGAGGGTCTAGGGAGACCATATTGCAGCCTTTCAATACAGAAAGATGGAGAAAGACTTTACCAAGGCAGGTAAGGCAGCAGGTGGCAGGACAAGGGGCAACAGTTTTAAACTGAAAGAGGGTAGATTTAGATTGGATATAAAGAAGACATTTTTTCTTCAACAAGGGTGGTGGGACACTGACACAGGTTGCCCAGAGAAGTTGTGGATGCCCCATCCCTGGAAGCCTGCAAAGTCAGGTTGGACGAGGCTTTGAGCAACCAGATCTAGTGAAAGGTGTCCCTGCCTATGGCAGGAGGGTTGGAACAAGATGATTTTTGATGGTCTCTTCCAACCTAAACTGTTCTGTGATTGCAATCTTCTGACACACACATATGCCGGGATCTGTTCTGGTGACTAAATATAGAAGACTTGTGCATGTTAAAACACAGTTTCTATATCATCACAGCTCTTCAAGAAAAGCAGTGTAAGCGCCAGGAGATATGTAGCTGCAGCTAATGAGGATCAATAAAACAGAATAATGAAAACATTACAGGTCTAAATGTAACCAATGTCACAGTGTCAGAACAGTCTGGCACTCTAGACAGCTGGTTATGTTTCTCTCTGCCAATGATCCCTGATGTCCCACTTCGGCCATGACATAGTCCTTCCTAAAAAGCTTCTCATCTACAGCTTGGGGAAGGGGGCAGCTGAGAGGCACAGGGTGCAGTCTGTTGCTACGGGTGGTAATTTGCTTCCTCCAAGCCCATAGCACTCCTCCTCCTCCCCAGAGGATGGGGAGGGCAGAGGTGCCACACAGATGGGAGCTCTGTCCCCAGTGCAGTGTGCTGGAGAGCATCGGGCACAGCTCCTGGGGACATCTGAGCAAGAGGAAGCACAGACAGGATTTCTCATGACTTATAGCAGGGACTCCAAAGTGCTTTAACATTGTGCTTTTGGGTGATACTTGTGCCAACAATGTAGAAGTGAAATTCAAATAACACTGCCCACTGTTTACTGAGGTAGCAAGAGGAACAGTTATGGGCAGTAAGGGAATTTAGGCATGGCAATTTTGAAAACCCCACTTAAACCAGGAACGTACCAGCACTGCAAAGAGTTTCTTCTGAATAGAAAGATGCTACGTTGTTGCTTTGCAGTGCAGGTCTGACTAGTTAAGGACCTAGATCAAAACCAGACATTCCCCCTAAAGCATTTCTCGTTTTGTTTCCTAAATAGTCACAAGGAATCTCTACGTCTTTTAAAGAACAAAGGGCCTGCCAAGGAAGCTTTTCTTCATTCTTAGATGTAGTTATATTGGTTTGGGGTGGCCTCCTGTTTATTTTCATGCCACATAGCTTTATCCACTCACCCCTCAGTCGTTTAGTCACCCCCAAATATATATGAATGCATATAGTTCACACTACAAGTAGCCTGTGAAATCATGAAGTTAAACAGATTTAATAAAGAATGAGTGTGTTACTGATCTTACCACAAGACAGGAAACAAGCAATAAATCATTACAAATATAATTAGTGTTTTAAAAAGATGAGTTAGAGAGCAAATATATCACCCCTCTCAGAAAGAAACCAAAAGTTTAAAGGCATTACCACAGAATATAGCTTATCTCCCTAACAAAAGCAGCACGTAAGAGATATTTAGCACCAAAGCACTTCTTTAAAAAAAAAAAAGCAACACAACTCTTTTCTGAAAGTGTGGGTGGCTCTGAAAAGAGCCTTTGGGTTATAATGTTAGGTTATGAAAAGTCTGAGCAGCTTTGCCCGTCAAGCTTATTTGCTCTTGGCCTTGTGACTGTCGGTCTTCTTGGGCAGCAGCACGGCCTGGATGTTGGGCAGCACCCCGCCCTGCGCGATCGTCACCTTGCCCAGCAGCTTGTTGAGCTCCTCGTCGTTGCGGATGGCCAGCTGCAGGTGGCGGGGGATGATGCGCGTCTTCTTGTTGTCGCGGGCCGCGTTGCCCGCCAGCTCCAGGATCTCGGCCGTCAGGTACTCCAGCACGGCCGCCATGTAGACGGGCGCTCCGGCTCCCACCCGCTCCGCGTAGTTACCTTTCCGAAGCAGACGATGGACACGGCCCACGGGGAACTGCAGCCCGGCCCGCGACGAGCGCGACTTGGCCTTGGCCCGCACTTTGCCTCCCTGCTTCCCGCGGCCGGACATGATGCACGCGCTCAAAAAGGCTCAAACCTCCTCCCCTCGCGGAATCAAACAGACAAAATCGAACTGACGCAACGGCTCTTCCCCTTTTATCCCTTCCCTGGGCGGGAGTCGGGCCTGCTGATTGGCTGGAAGCGATCGTTGCTTGTACAGCCAATGAGAAGACGGATCATATTGTGACCAATCAGAGCGAAAGTCGTACGCCCCGTGCAGGAAGATCCAATCAAGTTGTACGAGTTAGAGGGTCGAAATTTGCATAACCGCCCTATAAATAGAGGGCGCCGCGGCCATTCTACACGGTGCTTCTGTTCCGAGAGAGAGCAGTGGTGCGCTTAAAATGCCCGAGCCGGCCAAGTCCGCCCCCGCGCCCAAGAAGGGCTCCAAGAAGGCCGTCACCAAGACGCAGAAGAAGGGCGACAAGAAGCGCAAGAAGAGCCGCAAGGAGAGCTACTCCATCTACGTGTACAAGGTGCTGAAGCAGGTGCACCCCGACACGGGCATCTCGTCCAAGGCCATGGGCATCATGAACTCCTTCGTCAACGACATCTTCGAGCGCATCGCCGGCGAGGCCTCGCGCCTGGCGCACTACAACAAGCGCTCCACCATCACCTCGCGGGAGATCCAGACGGCCGTGCGGCTCCTGCTGCCCGGCGAGCTGGCCAAGCACGCCGTCTCCGAGGGCACCAAGGCCGTCACCAAGTACACCAGCTCCAAGTAGAGCGGCTCCAGCGCCGGTTTTAACCAATAACCCAAAGGCTCTTTTAAGAGCCACCCACATTCTCCATGAAAGAGCTTTAACACCAGTGTCTCAGTCTTTCTAGGTGTGAAAATATACTTAAAAACCGGTAAATAAAATAATCGGTCTTATCAGATTTTGCTATGATTAACAATCTAGAGTCCTCAAATATTTTGCAGCTTCAAGCAAATTCAAATGTATTATTACTTGAGAAATGTTAACATTCGGGTTCTTTTCCAATAAATGCCAGCTGTACTGTTAAGCCCCTTATAGTAGAGACGAGATGCAGTACATTACAGAATGTACATTACATTTCCATCATTAATAAGAAAATCACAACTACATTAAGGCACCCACCCCAAAAAGTGAGGATGAGAGGAAAATAAAGGACCCTGATCACATTCTCGTGCAGCGGCTCCAGGACAGTCTAAGCTTAATTTTTTTCCCTTTGGTACGGGAAGAGAGGAAGCAGCCTCGTAGTTGGGAAGAGGAGGACAAGGAGAAGCCAGGACACTGTAAGGCGGGGAGGGTGCTTTGGCAGGACGCGGGCTCACCCTCCAGCGAGGAGGCAGCGCGGGCTTTTCGAAACTCTCCCATCGCCCAATAAACGGCCGAGGCTTCCCCCATCAGCCAATCACAACTGGCCGTAGGCGGAGCTCCCGCGGCCGGGGGCAGCCCCGCGCCGCCTCCGCGCTCCAACCGGGAGCAGAGGTCCCGCCGCGGCTCGGGCTGGCTGCCCGGCGGAGCTCCGGCCGCACCGGCCGGCAGGGTGCGGGAGAGGATCGCCGGTAGCTCCGACCCGCCCTTCCCGCCCCGGCAATCGCCGCCTTAACGAGCGATTTGCTCGGTGAAGCGGGCAGAGATTAAGAGCTGAAGCCGGTGAAGCCAGGCAGAGATTAAGAGCTGCCCCAGGGCAGCGCTGCCAAGCGGAGAGATCGTCGCCAAGGGAGCGGGGGAGCCGAGCAGTGACAGGTCGCTAAGAGGTGTGGCAGTCGCAGCCGGGCTGGTTAGGAACCGCGGCGGTCAAAGCCCCGAAAGAAATCTCCGCGCCCCAGGCAGCCCCTTTAACACAAGCGCGCAACCCCGGTGCTGAAAAAAAAAAAAAAAAAAAAAAAAAAAAAAAAAAAAGGCAGTCAGCCTTTAGAAAGCTTTTTCACAGGGAATGTAAACTTTATTTTTTTCCCCAAGTCTTAACGCAACCACGGCCGGAAGTTTAGCGTCCCGTCCACTCCACAGACCAACGTCCCACACGGCTAGTGGCGTGGGGTTACCTCTGCTGCAGGCACGGAGCTCGGTGACGGAGTGTTGTCAGCCCTTTTTCGGACAATAGTGGGTGGCTCTTAAAAGAGCCGTTGGGTTTAAGTATTTCCACTTCAACACTTCACTTCTTGGGCGCCGCCTTCTTCGCCTTGGCCGCTTTGGGCTTGGCCGCCTTGGGCTTGGCTGCTTTGGGCTTCACCGCCTTCGCTTTCGCCGGGCTCTTGGCCGCTGCCGCCTTCTTGGGCTTGGCAGCCTTGGTCGCCTTCTTGGGGCTCTTGGCCGCTTTCTTGGCCGCGGCGGCCGCCGGCTTCTTGGCTTTCTTGGGGCTCTTCTTCGCTGTCACCGCCTTCTTGGGCTTCTTGGCGGCGCTGGCGGGCTTCTTGGCCGCCGGCTTCTTGGGCTTGGCCGCGGTCGCCCGCTTCTTAGGAGCCTTCTCCTTCACTTCTCCGGGCTTCTTGCTGAGGCGGAAAGAGCCGGAGGCGCCGGTGCCCTTGGTCTGCACCAGGGTGCCCTTGCTGACCAGGCTCTTGAGCCCCAGCTTGATGCGGCTGTTGTTCTTCTCCACATCGTAGCCGCCGGCGGCCAGCGCCTTCTTGAGGGCGGCGAGGGAGAGCCCCTTGCGCTCCTTGGAGGCGGAGACGGCCTTGGTGATCAGCTCGGTGACGCTGGGGCCGGCGGGTTTGCGGGCTTTGGCGGCGCCCGCCGCCTTCTTCGGCTTCTTGGCGGCGGCCTTGGCGGCGGGGGCCGCGACGGCGGGAGCGGCGGCGGGAGCGGTCTCCGACATCGCTGCAGAGACTTCTTCCTAATCAAAAGAAAGTAATTGGGCTACAGTAACCCCGATGCCTGAATTTATAGCGAAGCGGTGATCTGTGATTGGTGCTTTGCAGAGCCCGCCTAACTGTTAGCCAGGAAGAGCTTTTCGTCCTCCGAGTCTGTGTTTCTTCGGAGTTATAAATCCGTATTTTTTGTAAAATGCCTGCCACCAAATCACCCCGGTTTCTTCGGGGAGGGAAGAGAAGACGGTGGACTTTCACTGGGAGGAATTTCTTGCTGTTGGGACCCCAGATGAGAGAGAAAAGACGTGTTTAACCCCACGTTGTGAAGCCAGAGAGACCCCGGGAACGGCAAACTTTTGTTTTTCCTACTAAATTAAAATAAAACCCATAGATAAAAAGTCACCCCCGTAATGCATGCTTATTCTTTAGGGGGTTCTCTCCAGATTAGGATAAAAATAGAGGGGGCAGCTTCAGTATTTTTGACGTAAATTGATTTCAAAGAGAAGGAAGTAACACAATTTCATGGCTTAGCTTTGAATACGGATAAAGATTCGACTCTCTTAACCGTATCTTTAACTATTAAAGACACGGTATTTCCACAGAATTTTGTGGTTTGGGAAAATAGGAGACCTTAGGATGAATATATATACGCTTGAAAAGTGTTTGGAACTTGCTAGAGCTCCGCATTTTTTACGATGTTCTGTAAGTGAATAGTAAGGTTTTTATTTATTTATTTTTAACACTTTCTGTTTATAAAGTGAATCTGTCAATGCCTCGATAATGCATATAATTTCCGGATAAACCTCTAGTTTAATGTTTTCTCAGATAGAGTAGTGTATATTATTATTATTTAACACTTGCAGAAATCAGAGGCAGATTTGTAGGGGGAGGGGAAATGTCAAACAGGTATATATACACTAATTCGTATGGCACACTGCTTTAAACATTAATGGAGCCCGCTGAAGCCTCAATAAAATAAATAAAATAATGTGGCAATCTGGGCTGTGTGAACAGAATACCTCAGCCCCAATCTTACCTATAAATATTTGGACACAGATTGTTGTGGTTTGGGGTGTTGTTTTTTTTTCTCTTAGGTTTCATAAAGTGTAGCATTCTCTTCTTTAAAGGAAAGGGGAAACATTTGCCAATGTAAGTTTTCATCCAAATCCTCAGAATACTTTAAAAATTTTCGGACAAACCTCATAAATCAGAATCAGATTTAATTATTTTGATCCTGCTTAATTGTTACGTCTCACGAAATGACAACAGAAGTTAATTGCATTTTTTAAGGGCTGCTATGAATTGTTTGGAATAATCCTTGATTAAATCAGAAGACAAAAGTCTCGATTGGCTTCTAATTAAAAAACAGCCAGAATTTTTTTTCCTTGGTTGAAAAAAACAGATTAGGCCCGAAACATTGTACTTTGTAAAAACTTGTAATGCAAAACATCAGTGGGCTCTTTCAGGAAAGGAGCATCTGTTCTAGCACGGATGAATTTAAGATTCTAGAAGACAAGTAGTATGTTGCAAAAGGCCCTGACATTTATTTTCATACATTAAATGTAGAAATTAAAGAATTAATACTTAATAGGAAGAAGTTTCCGTTGAAATGAGATAGATTAAAATAGCAAGGATAAATGAGATACATTAGAGTAACAAAAGTGAAAACAACGAACTGTCACTTTTTCCTATTCTCTTTCAGTTCTATTTTTATTTTGTTGCATCTGCATGCAGTCCAGCTAATAAATACTTTGAGGGAGAGAGAAGGACAGGAAGGGAAAAGCAGAGAAAGGGAAAAATTAGACTTATCAGTACCCCACAGTAAAAACCAGAGTGCAAGGCATATCGAAGCAGGCTGTGAAATCTGCCACACTTCTTGTGTGAACGGGACATCGCTCCCCCATAAACAAGGAGACCAAATGCACAGTAGCCAGAGAGTTTTAAAGCTCAGGCTGGTGCCTCAAACCAACGGTAGGAATATTTTTCTGAGAAGTGAAAAAGGCAGTTGTTAGTAGCAAGATAAGGGCATTATGCTTATTTTCCAGGTTAAGGGGATGAAGACGGACATAAATCACAATCAGCCTTTAAGTGATGCAAAAGACAGAGCAGGGATGGGTTGTCATCTATCCAGATCTGCTTAATGCACAGTCTTCTGGGAATAAGGATTGAGAGAAGCTTAATGTGCTTTAATTTCTGTAGCTTTGGCAATTTAGTGTTAGATCTCTGCAAATCTAGTTTATTGCACTTGAAACTGCTCAGAAAGCTGGGAGCAACTGGGAGTGGACAGTAACTGCTGGTAGAAGAGTGCGGTCCCAGGGGTGGGTCCTCTTCACCAGCATCCCCACATTTGGGCAAGTTTCACTTCAAACTTGCTCTTGACAACAGAAACCTGTTCTTAGTCCACCAGGAGAGATTTCCTTCCCATTAAGAGATTGCAGGTTAAAGACAGGACCCAGAAAGAGACTGGAGCTCTCAGATCTTGCTCCCTGACTAGCGGCAGTCACTTAACTCTGTCCACAGCACGTAGGAATTTCTGTCCCTACTCTGTAACGAGTTTTAAAGGGACAAGACCCCCACCGCCTTTGTAAAGAAAGCAGATGAAAAAGGTTGTGAACTGAGGATTTCAAGGAGCAGAATTTAGGACTTCTCACACTTCTAGTTCTGGATGGGTCCAGGTAAATCCCCATGTCTTTTAACCATTTCCTTCCTCCAGGTGCTGGTTGTTTTGACTTGGACTTCTGAAGTTTCTTGCTTTTCCCTAAATAGTCTGAGACTCTGGAAGACCTGGCTACTGGCCTGTGGCATTATCTGTCAACAGCCTTTATTGTAACCTATTCCTAAATGTCAAACTGGCCCTGTTCTGCATAAAGCATTATTCCTGGCCTACTTCTGAGAGGTGAGAATTTTCCTGACCTTCTCAACCATTTCCATAAAAGGTGATATTGTTTTAATTGTTTTAATATTTTTTTAATTTATTTTTTTTTTTTAAGAGAGCATCTTTAGAGATATGAGGTGATGTGAAAAGGGGAGGCTTTTCTAGGGTGATTCCCACCCTGGGCCCAGCAATGACATTTGCTAGCTAATTGGATAAAATAAACTTGCCAGAAGCTCTGAACAATTTTCAGGTTTGCATTGCTGGAAATAGCTGTTAAATGCAACACTGGACCAAAATAACAATTCTCGGCTTTTAGAGAGACTAATCACAATTAACCTTAGAAATGGAATTGTTATTGCCCTGGGTGTTTTACAGATGATGGAAAAAAGACATAGCAAAGCAAGCATCCCAGCACAGAACTCAGCAAATCAGTGGTAGAATTTTTCAATCTGGCAGAGAAATTTTCTTAGTGCCAAGAAACACTCCTTGGAAAAAGGTTTTCAGAGTGAGCTGGTAATAAAAATCGTTTGCAGTTTCCACGTGAAGAGTCAAATATTTAAATGTGACTCCATTTATGCTGAATTTCAGTCAATCAGCAAAGATTGAAAGTTCTCCTGTTTCTCCTTTTCAAGCACCCTGTCCAAATGCTGCCTCTGATTATTTCATACTCAGAACTTCAAAGCAATTTCTTATGCCTCCTTAAAATCATACCCTTACATCCTCAAAACAGGATTTAGTTTTCATGCATCATCACATAACCTGCCCTGGCTTCCTTCCTTGCCTAGAGTATAGGTTCTAGTGGAGATTACAGAAGATCCTATAAAATACTAAAGCATTTTCTAATGCAGTGATCTTCAAAATAGAAATAGTTCACATATAAGAAGTCATTCCTAAAACTGTATAGCAAAGAAAACACTTGATTTTTTTCTTATCAAGACAGTAGCTCCACATGGAGGAGAAACAGATTAGACGTTTGATAAATAGAGGCAGATTAGACATTCAGACTGCAGGAGGAGAACAATCCAGATAAACTGATTAGCCAAATTTATCTGAAAGCCTACACTCATTTAATTACAATTACTATTACTACTATTACTACTGTGGTGAAGACCTAGAGAAACTAGAATCTTTTAACTGAAGCATTCTGTCCTCTTGACAAAGAATGATTTTGCAGACAAGTAATTGTTCTCAATAAGAAAAGCACCATACCCAGATCAAAAGACATTAATCACGTTTCTGTTGTGCCACAGTTATATTGTCAACACTGATTCAGCAATTGCAAAGTTTATATAGTAGGGAAGAGTTAACACGTCAAAGGGCTGTCAGTAGTAAAAAAGCCCGTATCCTTTCAGATATATACTTTAACTAAACTTACAAAAATGTACTGACAGATATTTCAGTGTTAGGGCAATCACATCTCCTAAAAAAAAATGCCTGTCTTGCCTTCTAATCTAACACCTAAGGCAATAAGTCCTACGCCCATACTCA